TGTGAAATTCTTCTCTTGCCTTAGCCTCCCTGCGCTTCTCTGGATCACAGCTTTTCATGTCTTTCATTGCTTTGTAAATAATAATGTGCGTTTCGTCCCCAAAATACACAGTCAACCCACTTTACAGTATATTCTGTGAAGCGCTTTGAGTCAAATGCAAGGATTATTATTATTAAACTTGCCTTTATACTGTATCTTTCACATCCACATAAATGTCTTGAAGAGCTGCACAAAATATAATTGAGTAGAAATTAAAGTGAATGTGATTATGTAGACAATAGCACAAATGGCCAATGTTCCTCTGAACTTCCTTTCCATTAAAGGTCCAAATATTTCCTCTTTCGTAGAATTTTCTTCCTTCCTGCATCATCACTGCTGTGTCGTGCCATCTCCTACTCAAGCTCTTTCATTCCCACACCTCAAAGAAGTCCGTTTTTAGCCTTCTTCATATTCCCTTTGCCCTGTAAACCCAATCTACTCTACAGCCTTTTCAACCCAAGATCAGTGCTACAAATGCACCTTGTATATGATGTGGGAGGCGGTGGAAGCAGAAAATGGCAATTGTTTCAAGAACAAATTGGATAGGTTTCTCCTGGAAAATAATATCTTGGGATACAGTATATAGATTGGGACACGACATGTCAAGGGATTGCCAGGATGGTGAAAGGCGAACTAGATGGACCTTGGTCTTCTTTCGCTTAGTAAATTCTTTGTTTCGCATCCAAAACATTGAGACCGCAGGTTGTCTCCCTGACTCTTCAGCCTGTTTTTCTGCGCTATGGACCTTACCCATTCCACTAGGTTTTTCAGTTTAAAGAAGAGAACTGTTTGATTGTAAAGCTTTTTTTTTGTTTAAAATTTTCCTACATCTCCTCGTTTCTCCAAGTGGGCGACTCATCTGCGTTTCACAAGTTTTTAAATTCATCGCGCTTTAAGCTTATATTAACCGTTGACTGAATAATAACCCATGAGGAACAGAGGTGATTTAAAGTATCTGAAGGAGGGGAAAGATGTAAGAGAAACAGTTGTTATCGTAGCTTCCTATGATAAGCAATAGCGCGTGCTGTGTCAGTCAAGCAACCTTCTCGAACGGTTACCATTGGATGTAACTATAGAAACCCTCCAACTATGCCCCTATCTTATTCAAGCAGGAGTTATATGATCCAGTGGTATTACCATATAGATTAGGCCATTCATAATACTGTAAATTGTTTCACCTTAACTGTGCTTACACAGTCCAGTAGCAGCTTTCACTGTGCAGTACAGAATTGTGCATAGGGATGTCACAATGTGATTTTGTATATATCAAAAAAATACAATAACTCCTCCGTTCCAATCCTGCAGGATGGCATTAATTCATTTTTCTTTCCGCCCGCGACTGTTACTTTGTCCTCTTTAAGATCGGGCGTGATCACAATAATAATGATAGGCGGAAAGAACAGCAATCTGAATATCGTAGGCTTTACATATCTCCGTGTATATACAGCAGAGTTACAGTGTATTGTCCTATAGCTTAGTGGTTAGAGGATTCGCCTCGCAAACAAGAGGACCCGGGTTTGATTCCCGGGCAGGGCGAAAGCTTAAGCAAGTTTCCTTACTCCGTACACCTAGCAGTAAATAGGAAGCCCAACCCAGTTGTTAGTCAATTGGCGGATTGCGTTTCTGGGGTAATAACCCCTTCACAAAAAAAAGAATTTGGTGAATCATTCCACGACTGTTTGTGGGACACTGCTATGCGCAATTGGCTGCCCACAAAATATACAGTCAACTTTACAGTATATTCTGTGAAGCGCTTTGAGACGTGTCAACGACGTGATAAGGCGCTATATCAAATACAAGGATTATTATTATTGTGGCACCTTTTCCGCTCCTCACCCTCCAATCCCATTGTACTTTTTTCTCTCGGCTATCGACCTATTTGTAGAACTAAACTGCGTTTTTCTTTTTGAAACAATTCCAAGCCAGTCTTGGTGGCCACTGGCCATCCTTAATCCTTTTTTTTAAACACGCTCTGTTTGATCTTGCCAACTGAAGTGTCCAGAAGTTATTTCGCTCTAAACCTACATAATTGCTGCGTAAGCCACTGCTAATATACTTTCTTTGAATCGCCCAATGTTCTGCTTGACTGGCGCGGGCTTTCTGGTAGTTTTACTCTGTTTCGACTGTTGGTTCAGCGCATTTCTCAGCGGTCGTGACTGGCTCGTACAATTCATTCTTGTGTTTCTTCCCCAATTTGGTTCCTTCTTTTATTATTAAAAAGGAAAACTTTGAAAATGCAGTTTGTTTTTTAGGCCAGGGAATGTCCACTTGCCAAATCTTCAGAGATGAATCATTTCCCAGCACTAGCAACCAGAAAACCTGGGTGGTCTTGGACTGGGTTGACACTCCAGTGCAGTAGTGGGAGCACTGACTTGTTGGGTGTGCCGTACTTCAAGTGAGATGTTAAACCAAGATCTGGTCTGCCTGTTCAGGTGGACGCTATTGAACAACGGAATGGAGTTTCTCCCGTTGTTCCTGGCACCAATCCTCTAGGTAATTGGCCGTGCATTTCATGGCTGTTTGTGGGCACCTTTTTTTGCATTGATAACAGACACTGCATTTGACTGCAATTACCTGTGTTGGAAGGATGTCTCAAAGTGCTTTGGACAGCTGGCTAGGCACCGGAGCCACAGGGATGGGAGCTGACAAGGAGGTGCGGCGGCGGAGAGGAGATTGTCCAAAAGTGCGGTCACAGAAATAAGTCTGGAGGGAGGAGAGTCACTGGGACTTGGACGAAGTTCCAGAATGCAGGGCAGAATGGCTGAAACCTCTCCTGCCGGTGGTGAGACATGAAGCAATATGCAATAGTACCCACTGAACCAAACTGACAGCTCTTTTGACCAGAATTAGATTCTAATATATACGCAGATGCTGTGAAGGAACTGCATGCTGTACTGTACGTGCATCTCAACCTTTTAATTCTCTACGCAGCCCCCATAGTCTGGTCTATACATTAGAGAGCAGTGGTACAGTTACCTCCTGTTGACGTAACTTGTGAATTTAGGTAATCTGTCATTAGGAGGATCTTCAAAACAAACCATTGTGTTTTTTTGTAAACACAGAGGATACATGTTGGGAGTTTACACAAAATACATTGACTGATATCAGCTACATAACTCAAGATCTCGACATTTATTATTGTATGTGCTCTTCCCTGATATGAGTTATATTTTTGACAATACTTTCATATATGTCAAGGTCCCGGACGCAGTTAAACCAAGGTCCTGGGCACAGTAGTGAGTTTCAGCAAACCGTTGGTGACCAAAAATAAAAAGCAACAGGGACAAGAGGACAGATATTCAGGGTAGCAAAGGACATTTTCAACTCAGACACCAGGAATTATTTATTGTTGAGACTTTTCAATGCCCTTCACATGATTTTATTGTGAAGAGTGACTGTGTATTATGTAGGCCAATATGGCAGCCAATTTGTGCATGGTACTATCCCACAAACAGCCACGAAGCAAATGACCAATTTTATCTGAGGGAGGGATTGTCGGCCAGAGCACTGGGAGAGAGAAACTCCCTTCTCTTTTCAAATAGTGCCACAGGATCTTCAACATTCACCTGAACAGGTAAACTGGATCTCTGTTTAACTTCTCATCCAAAGGCACCTCTTACAGTGCTGTGCTCTTTGCCTCCACCCACATCGCACCATCACCAACATCAGGGTCGCCTGCTTGTCTGAAGCATATAGATCGTCAATAAAAGGACACAGTGTATGGTTCTTATACCTTATTAATGTAAACAGCAATAAGCAGACCAGAACCTGGTTATGATGGAAGTTTAAGCCGCAATGTAACATGATGATGCCTTTCCGAGAGGATTTTTTCAATGGTTGACTGTTTCCTTAGAGAAAAATGCCGGATTTTGGTGGAACCACGTATTGAGTGAGTGACTAAAACTAGTCTTTATTTGCTTGGCTGGACTGAGCCCAGTAAACGTGGGGCTGTGTCCCTGTATATAATATGCTGGTTCGAGCTGATGCTGACTTCAAATCAAATGAAGGTTTGACCTGTAGCTGCCGTCGCCAAAGAACACAAAACCTGTCAGGAAATAGGAAGGAGACCTTGCTCTGAATTTCAACACCGCTGCATTTCATTTCCTGTGGCCAGCGCAGACTATTTCCCTGTGGTTTCTTTAATAAACCCAAAACTGCTTGCGACCAAGGTCTTGAAGTAGAATGAAAGGAAACTGAAATAGCTAGGAAGGAATCAGCTGATCCCTAAGTCATGAAAGAGGAAGTATTATCCTGTGTGTGTGTGTGTTTTTTATTAAAAAAACTCACCTTGATGTAGATTTCTACTGGCATTTGGCAGTGCAGCCCATCATATAATGAGAGCCCAATTTATTTAGTCATGTAACGTTTTCAGCTCTCGCTGTGTCCTAAGGTACCCTGTTCAGTTAGGTGCAGCGTTGCAATCTATCTACAACAACAACAACAACAAGATTCCAGTTAGAGCGCCTTTCACGTCGGGAGGACGTCCCAAGGCACGATGTGCTCACGCCACTGTGTGAAAGATCTATCAAGGGGTGCTTGTGTGTGTGTGCATGGTGTAGGCAGGTACTTGCTCCCCATCCTGCCGATAGGCAGGTTTCCATACTCCACACGTCTCTGTTTATCGAGCAGTAAGTAGCAACTCGGTTGTTAGTCGATTGGTGGATCGCTTTCCGGAGGTATTAATCTCTCCAAAAAAAACATTTGGTCACTCAATCCATCAGGCAAATGGCAGTCAAATTCAAGTCTCCCACCTGTGAGTCCCAACACTGCAGTCACCGCACGTTATTTGCTTTTACGTAATTCGATCTCGTCCTTTCCCATGACTGGATTCCAATCGACAACTTGAGGTTAAGGGGCCCAGAGGTCAAAAGCTTAATTTGCATGTGGGTGAATTATCCCACCTTATTCGTTGGGTTAGAGTCTACAACTTCATCAACATTGTTGTGTGTTTTGTTAAACAGAGGAAGAGCAAGTTCCCATTGATGGAGGAACCTCAGCCGAAGCGATGCAAGTTCCTCTCGAGGAGGAAGAGGAGGAGATGGAAGAAGAAGAGGCGGTTAACGACGAGAACTTTCTGGGCAAGAGACCGCTGGAAAGCCCGGACTCTCTCGACTTGCCCGTCACAAAGCGAGCCAGGACAGGGAGCTGTAAAACACACAGCCCCGACGGTGCCTTAGAACCGAGGGAGCCCTTGAGCATGATCAATTCTCAGCGAGTTCCTCCTGTCTTGTCTCCTGTCCCACCCCCGGAGCACCCCGACTCGCCCCCTCTTTCTCCAGAGCCACCGATGCTTGCGCCCATCCCCAAACCCTCGTCACAACCCGTCACCCCGAAATCGTCTGATTCCAAAACATCCGGGTCCAAAGGCAAATCGAACATCTCCCCTTCGGGCAGCCAGAAGCCCAAGTCCCCCAAAGGGTCACAGTCGGCGCACACAGGAAGCCCCAAACGTTCCCCTAAAGGTTCGAAATCGATGGACAAGAAGTCGCCCCTGCGGACAAAAAGCCCCAAAAGTCCTAAGAGTCCCAAAGTACCGGCGAGTGTCTCTCACTCCACAGCCAAGAGTGAGGCTCCCGACAGGACCCCTTCGGCCGTGTGTAACCCAGGGCCCGAAAAGCCCGGCAAAGAAAACGTTCATACAAAGCACCCACACACGTCGTCTGAAATGGAGAAACCTAACACTTTGGACAGTCCGGCTAAAAAGTCGGGGGCGCCTGATAAGAGCATCGATGACTCTATCGATGCAGTTATAGCTCGTGCTTGTGCCGAGAGGGAGATGGACCCCTTTGAGTTTTCCTCAGGGTCTGAATCGGAGGGAGAGGTCTTTACCAGCCCCAGGCGACTGACCATTTCGGAATCATCGACACCAAAGGTCCACTCGCTTTCCAGCAGCTTTAGCAGGAGTAGTACGACCCCAACACAATCTTCTGCCCCTTCGGGACTCGCTAATATGTCGTGGACTTTAGATGATTCCATCAATGAGGTGGTGAGGAAAGCCAGCTTGGGTACGCCCCCCTCTGTGCCCCCCACCAACCCTTACCTATCTTCGCCATCCGCTTCCCCACCCACCCCGGAACCCCTCCTTAAGCTCTACGAAGAACGGACAAAGCAAGCATCTTCATCCGACGTGAAGAAAAAGCTGAAGAAGGAGATTAAGTTGAAGATCAAGAAGAAAGAGAAGCTAAAAGAGAAGGACCGAGAGAAAAAGGAAAAGAACAAAGACAAGGAGAAGAACAAGGACAAGGACAAAGAGAAGGAAGCTAGCCGAGAGACCAAGTTGTTTTTAAAGGAATTTGGGAAGGAACATGATAAGGATTCATTTAAGTTCAAGATCAGAGACCAGGAAGAACCCGACATCAAAGTAAAACATAAAGAGGGGAATGTTAAAAAAGACAAAGACAAGCATCGGGACAAGAAGAAAGATAAAGAGAAGGGGAAAAAGGATAAAGAGAAGAACAAGGAGAAGGATAAACACAAAGAGAAGGGAAAGGCCTCTTCGCTCGTTTTTCTTCCAAAGGACATCCCCTTACCCCTTTTCAGCACGCCCCTCAAGGTACCCTCCGCCATGCCATCTGTCACTCCCGTCGTGCCCGAGAGACTGTTTGAGGAGAAGCCAAAGGAGAAGGACAAGAAGAAGGACAAGAAAGAGAAGAAGAAAAAGAAAGACAAGGATAAGGAGAAGGTGAAGGAGAAGGAGAAGAAAGAGAAGGAGAAGGAGAAGGAGAAGAAGGAGAAGGAGAAGGAAAAGGAGAAAGAAAAGGAGAAGCATAAACAACAAAAGGTATGTTGGTTGGTGAATTTAAAAAAAGCATTGCTGTAACAGTTCCTTCAGTCGTTGAGCACAGCGTGGATGTCCAACATGAGAGGTAAATGGAGTACAAATCTCTAACAATGTTAATTAATGTCATGAAAAGAAATTACTTTCACTGCTGTAAAAATTCTTTTTTGAAATAGGGATCATTTCGAGGCAACTATTATTTGAACAGGCAACCGTGGGCACTAGAATGGCAACAACAACAACAGATTACATTTGTGTAGGGACTTTCATGCTGGGAAGACGTCCGAAGGCACTGGACAATCAAGGATTTGGACCGGAGCTAGGGGTTGTGATTCACGAGGGGTGGAGGGCAGGGAGGGTAGGAGTAGGAGGGTGACCGGAGGCGAGGTCGAAGAGGAGGGTGGTCTTGAGACGGGTTTTGAAGGAGGCAAGGGAGGGGGTGAGACGTAGGGACTACGGGATGGAGTTCCAAAGGTTGGGGCCAGAGAGACTGAAGCACAATGAGCTTCAGAATAGGTGTTCATGACAGTCTAAAGCACACCACCCACTCTTAAAGCAAACCAGGTTTATGTTCGTTTTGAATCGAGTTGCATTCGAGGTGAAATCATTTCCCACCATCTGGACAGGGGTGCATACTCCCATCACTAGATGGTGTGGGTGGACACCCACACCACACACACACACACACACACACACACGCACGGTCAAAATGAAACCAGCACAAAAAAGCTGTGGAGGCATATTTTTTGATATAAAAGAGGTTGTGAAGAACAGAAACGGTTCATGTCTCAGCCACAAGTTTGCTGGGTAAAGAACTGCCTTTGCAGAACTTCACGTAAAAGCCTGGAGGGGGCTATTTTTTTTGGGTACAGGATGTGTGTTATAGGAAAATCACGGAGCCAGAAGACATCAGATGTTCCGAGGTACTATTGTAATTTAGATTAATCTGCTTTGATAAGCTTAGAAGTTGGGTTTTTTTTTCCGCTGCGAGACAGGATTTAAAAAATGAATTTTTCAAGAGAATCGCTCCGATGCTTTCAATGTGTGAAGGCGCTTCATCACGGGTGTCCTGGATGAAATGTAGAGGAACAGAGCATTATCAGTTTGTGCCTTGAGGTATGTAGTAAAAAAGAAGCTAAATCCGAGGAGATTAACAGAAAAATGCAGCACACTCCAAAAAGGGGCTTAGGCGGCTGGTATTATTTATCCAGGTGAAAAGAATGGTGCTTATATGTAAGACTGTGAACAAATCCACTGGCGATGTATTTCTAGTACTCAACAAAGGAGTCTTATATTAGTCGCCCTTCACTATCTTGCTTTGGATCCTGTCACCAGCCCCACCTCCTGATCGCCAGTCCACTTAACTGGGAGTGGAGTGTGCTTTACACACAGGTTCATCACTTTTTTTGAATTTTTTTTTACGAACTAGCATATTCCCTCTCTCTTCCACCCCCCGCCCTTCCCGAAAAAAAATCGGTCACTCAATTCGTGGAACACTGTTCTGCGCAATTGGCTGCTGTGTTTCGCCCACAAAGTGCAATCAATTTACTTTACAGAATATTCTGTGAAGCACTTTGAGACATCTCAAAGACGTGATAAGGCGCTGGATCAAATGCAAGGATTATTATTATTACCTCTGGAGAGGGAGATCCAAGCGAAAACATTTCAGATACGCCAGAGACTGTGACCCTGAATCATTGTGAGTGTTTTATATTGAATCCCCTCCCCCATTCTAAAGTGTCACACAGTTTTTTTTCCCTCTCCTTCCCCCTTTCTCCCCACCCCACCCCACCCCATCCGCCTCCCTCGGACCAGCATTACGTAATCACAAGTAAAAATGTAGAATACTTCCTTGTAGGCGTGTGAGGCGACGGATACATTCCACAATGGCAGGAGTCCTCTTGACTCCATTATTGTCTAATTAAACCAGCCAGTTTCAAGTGTGAATGTTTGCACAGATTGCCTTTGATCCGTGACGCGTACTAATCGCAGAGTAAGACAAGTGTCGCGTTCTTTATGTTGTGGAATGTTGCCAGTTCGGCTCTGGGTTAAACCTCCACTGAAGCCATTTAATACCTTCAATAGCATTGTCATTTGCCTTTCACACCAGCGTTTGACAAGCTGAGAGTCCAGAAATACTTGTGAAAAGGGAATAACCTACTGCACACTCACAGACACCTTACGGCATCGGGTAGTACAGTGATGATATCAAGATTCCCTCACAGAAGCACAAAACTGTTCCAGGCTTACTTTTCGCAGTCTTTCCCACCCATCTAAATGTCAGATGATGATTTATCCTGCTTCCTCTACTATTAAATCACATGCAACTTAAGACATTCCCTGACATTTCAGCACCACTTGACTTCCACCTCTCAGCCCCAGTGCAGAGAAGTGGTCAGGCAGTTAATTGGTCAGCGCTATGCTTAGCATGCAACTTGTATCTGTCATAGAGGAGTCCTGTAGCGTAGTGGTTAGAGTGCTTGTCTCGCAAGCGAGAGGATCCGAGCTCAATTCCTGGGTAAGGGGAAAAGTTAGGCAATAATATTAATAATCCTTGCATTTGATATAGCGCCTCATCAGATCTTCGAGATGTCTCAAAGCGCTTTACGGAATATACTATAAAGTGCATTGACTATATTTTGTGGGCGAAAGTTTCCTTTCTCGACACACCTCTGTTTGCCTAGCAGTAAGGAGGAACCCTGGTTGTTAGTTGATTGGCAGAACACTTTTCCGGGGGTAATAATCCCTTAACAAATATATAATAATTTGGTCACTCGATTCACGGCTGTCTGTGGGACACTGCTGTGTACAATTGGCTACTGCATTTCTCCCACGAAATGCAAAAATTGTCTCCAGTGAGCCAAATCCGTGAGTGTCCACAAACTATTTGGTTATGGAGAGCTTCACAGTCAACCCTGATGCTGCCATCACCAAGTATACTTGAGTAACCTCTGCCAAGCTATAGGGAAGAGCAAGAACCAAGAGCTTTCTACAGCACTTGATAAGCGAGGAAGGAATGTCCAAATGAATCATCTCAAGTCACTGTTCACATCTTCCCTTGCCAATGGCTGGTTAGACCGGAACATTGGCAGAGATCGAGCAGCACGTTTCTTACCTTCCTTTGTGACTCCAGGGTGTCATTCATGTGGTGACTGGTACCTACAGAGGGGAAAGGGAACTTTACAATCAGGAGATAGCAGTGTATTTAATAATAATGAAAGGTAGGCTTCAGGTCTGTCTAAAATGCTCTAATTTTGTAACCAAACCACATCCTTTCTAAAACCTCAGATTCCTTCCCTTTAGGTTATGAACGATCAACCGATTAGCTTTCTTCCGACAATGTGCGGTAGCTTATCCCTCTCTTATCACACTGACACTACGCTGGAATGGTGTCGTCAACCATTAAACTGTTTGGATTACTTTGTGACCAGCCAGGTGAACCACAAAGGCCTTTTCCGACCTGATCTTCCCTGTGTTGTGAGCGTACGATGTACTTCATGCGTCAGAACCGTTTTTGCTGGAAAAATCCTTGTACCTGACTTTTTCAGCTCCGATTGTTTCAATCATGCATCCGACATTGCCTTAAGCACAGATATCGAGATTGCTGAGGGTACGTGATGTATTGATTGCAGCTAAATATGCTTATTGTTTCTGTCCCAGGCAAAAGTCGAAGCCGTTATACCAGCTCCTTCTCCAGTTATTCCAAGACTCACCCTGAGGGTTGGCGCTGGGCAGGACAAGATGTGAGTACTCTGTGTGTGTGTGTGTGTGTGTGTGTTGGGGGTGGGGGCAGTGCATTTGGAGTTGGCATATTGTTCATATTAAGATAAAGAGCCAGTGCCATTTAACTTCAATATAGTATTTATCTTCAGTTCAGCTTCCTGACTGGAACTGCACAATTCAGAATTCACCTCTCCCAGCACAATCCTGCGCGATTTGAATAAATGTCATTTTGCTAATGATAGGGGATATCTGGAGGAATTATATAATTAAGGTGAAACTGAACCTCGGCACAAATAAGATATTATCCTGTGCATTCCAATTCATTTGTGCAAGCTTGGTCTGTGTGCGCCACCACTGGAGTTTACCTGGGTCTTGTTCAGACATTTTTGACTGGACCCTGTAGCGTATTTGTTAGAGAACTCGCCTCGCAAGCGAGAGGACCAGGATTCGATTCCTGGGCAGGGCAAAATCTGAGGCAAGTTTCCTTACTCCACACGCCTTTATGTAGCTTGCAACCCGGTTGTTAGTCGATTGGTGGATTGCTTTCTGGGGCAATAATTCCTTCAAAAAAAAAGAATAATGTGGTCACTCAATCCATGACTGTTTGTGGGCATTGCTGTGTGCAACTGTGCGCGTTTCACCCACGAAAACACAGTTAATTCACTTTACAGTATATTCCTTGAAGCGCTTTGAGACTGTGTCAACGACGTGATAAAGCGATGTCTCAAATGCAAGGATTACTATTATTATCTTGCATGATTTTAATTCCTCACATCACATGAACATTTTCCTCGAAACCATTACATTTCTGGTTTGCCAACACTCGGAGATGTTGGTTTCAATTTAAAATGACATTCGAAGAGAGAGGGAGGTAATGAAACGTTAAATTAGTTTTTGCTTCATGTCTGCCTTGATAATGGTTGATTTGACAATATGCAGAAAGCATGTGTTTGGGTAAAGACCTGTGTGATGGCTTAAGTAAGGGACACATTAAGGTGACCCTTTGTAAGCTTGAAATATCTACTTGACTCAGATCATAAACGGCCTTTTTCTTTTTTGTTCAAAATTTTCTCTTCCCACCTTCGTTCATCTCCCCACCCGACCACCTGATCCCTCAGACGGCAACAAGAGACAGTAAAGCGAGCATTATCACCAGCAGAAAAGAGGGGAAGGGATGCTGGCAAAAAAATTACATGGGTTGGCAAAATGTGGAAGTGACTGTTGTTGAAGGCATTGATGGTGTCCGTGAGGCTTGATCAAAGAGATGTATTTTTAAGAGGGTTTTAAAGCTAAGAGAAGGGATTTTATGAGAGCGTTTCAGAGCGTAGGGACATTGTGGCTGAAGGCTTGTCCACTGGTGCTGGGACAGAGGGAGGTTTGTCGATATATTAAGAGCAGGATTTATTCTGAGGTATATTTTGACTTCAGAATACAACAACAGTTTGGATTTTTATATCACCCCTCATGCAGATTAGCATCCCAGAGTGTTTTAATACACATTTTGCAAAAGGCAATGAATGCCCCACAAACAGCCATAGAGGGAATGACCAATTCTCTCCAGGGCGTTGTTGGCCAGGACATCAGGAGGAAGAGTCCCTTCTCCTTTTGAAAAGCGCCATGCGATCTTTACCATCCCCCGAAACGAGAAGACAAGTCTTCAGTTTAACAATCTCACCCGAAGAACGGCACGAGTGATAATGCAGCACTCCCCAGACACTGCACTGGAATGTCAGCCTAAACTGGGTGAGCTCCAAGCCCCAATGTGGGGATTAAGCCAGCAACCTTGTGACTCAGAGGTGAGAGAGCTATTGACTGAGCCAGGCTGACACCTGTACACCCGGCTGACAGTAGTCTAAAGTTGGAAGAGCAAAGGGCCCAAACAGGAGAATAGGGTTAGAGGAGAAAGCAAAAGTAGAGAATGTGATGGCAAGATCATGCTGTCTGAAGGATTTTTCCCCAATGAGTGATCACTTTTTCCCAGTGAGAAAGCTCGCTTGTACAAAATGGATTAGCAAGTGTAATTAAGCTAAATGGATGGGAAATAAGAGGATTTGAAGATTTTCCCGGAAAGTGTTCGAATGTTAAAAAATATTGCATTTGTGTCGAGACCTAGTTTTTAAGTCTGATTTACATTATTTTCTTTTTTTTACAAAACGTTAGCGGTGGATCTCAGTGATATTGTGACATGCAGTTAAATCCTTAAACCATGATCAAAACCTGGTTTGTGATCTACCCACGCTGTATAATCATCTGAATCCTGCTCACAGGGGTGGTATAGCCTTTTTCCAACAGTAGTTAAGCAGTTATGTACAGTCATCACCTATGTGTGGAGTCCTGTAGCTCAGTGGTTAGAGCACTCGCCTCGCAAGTGAGAGGACCTGGATTTGATTCCCAGGCAAGGCAAAGCCTTAGGCAAATTTCCTTACTCCACACGCCTCTGTTTACCTAGCAGTAGGAACCTGGTTGTTATTCAATTGGTGGATCACTTTTCCCAATGCCACACGGTAGAGCTAACTATGGAAAGATAAATTTTCGTAAGTATCACTGTTCCATTTTTTCACATTCTGATCACCATCCCATTCTCTTATTGTTAATGTTAGGTTCCATCTGCCTTGAGTCTTTTTGATGAACTATAAATCCAAGGGCTGATTGATCCCGTGGCACTATTTGAAAAGAGAAGGGAGTTTCTCCCAATGTCCTGGCCAAGAATTCCCCAGATAAAAATTGACCATTCATTTCTTGGCTGTTCTTGCGGGACATTACTGTGCACAAATTGGTTGCCGCATTTGCCTACAAAATGAACAGTTGCTGCACTCTACCGTAAATCCCGTAAAACACTATGAGACATTTTGACGACTTGATTAGGTACTGTGTCAAATGTGAGGATTATTTTTTATCATATGACCATTAAAGTTCACTTTTATGTGTGGTTCTTAACCAGAATAGAGATTGTCTGCTATGAAAGCAGCTAAAACAATTTGGTGTTGTGCTTTACAGGGTTTACTTTCCCTGATCTCCACCGTAATACAGTACAGTCGCAATTCAATTATGGCAGATTGAAAAAAGATGGGCAATCTTTGAGCAATCTGTGCAGCAAATTAAAAGGCCCCATGGCCAAATGAAGTGCAATACAGATAAAAGCAAGGTCCTCTATTGCGGAAGTGAATACAGGAGAGGAGCTTGCTCAGCAAGCAGGTGGGAAGGAGCCTGGCGATCGCTTGAGGAGTTTTAACTTGTTTACAGTGTGAGGCACACTGTAAACAAGTTAATCTAATAATAAATAATTATCCTTGCAAGTTAATAAAATGCTGCCCATAATGCCAAATCAGTTGCCCACAGTTCATAACCAGTGATCCTTGCATTTGATATCAGCGCTTTATCACGCTGTTGAGACACCTTGAAGAGCTTCACAGAATATACTGTCAAGTGAATTGACTGTATATTTTGTTGGCGAAATGCGGCAGCCAATTGCTGACAGCAGCGTCCCACAAACAGTCAGGGATTAAGTTACCAATTTTTTTTGAAGGGATTAATATAGAAAGTTAGACAGTTGCTACACATGCTTTGGATTCTACCCATGTTTGGTTGGTGGTGGGTGGTGGTGGAAGAGACATTTAGAGGGGAAAGAATTCTAGCACAGGCAGTCACACTGTACTGAAGAGCTAGCTGAGTCTATTCGAACTATCCAGCTTTACAAGGTGGGTTAAGCGATCAGAGAACCCGGGTTCGATTCCCGGGCAGTGCGAAACCTTAAATAAGCTTCCTTACTCCACACACCTCTTGTGTGTAATCTTGTTGTTGGTGTTGTTGACCTAGCAGTAAGTAGGAACCTGGTTGTTAGTGGATTCGATTATCGCTTCCTGGGGTAATAATCCCACCCAAAAAACAGCAACACAAATTTATATAGTGCCCTTTCACGTAAGGTAGCATCTCAGAGCACTATTCCGAAAGAGAAAGCAGTTTCTCCTGGTGTCTTGGCCAACATTCCCACAAATAACATTGGTCACTCATTTCAAGGCTGTTTGTATTATAATGGCTGTGTGCAAATTAGGTAGAACATTTACCTTCAAACAGTGGCTCCACTTCATAGTGAAATCTTGGGAAGTGCTTGTGAGACTGACACCTCAATGGCATGATAAGGCACTACATAAATTAAATGCAAGTATTATTCTACTTTTTGTGGGGGAAAAACAGCTCCAAATCAAGGAGTAAACATTTAGAAACTGCCCAGTGATACAATTTACATTCTTGAGAGAATGTGTCAGTGAGTGATAGATAGATGACTGAACGGAGACTGAAATGAGCAACTCATCTTGCGGTGTGTATATTTGGCTGCACCGCATTCCTCAGTGTAATTACACTGGGGAGAGATTGCCCTGAAACAAAACCCATCATCTCTGGCCTTGAGGGTCAATCACTTAACTGCTGCAATATAAAACTAATCGCCCGATTTTCATTCTCACACAGTATTAGTGTCACTACAAGGCTGACCACAACCGCTGGCTTAGATCCTCTTCAGTTCTGAGTCACGGAATGTTTTGTTGAGCTCTGCCTTGCGATTCTAGACGGCTGTTGCCTACCTACCCATTCACAAAGTCAACTTAGAAAGAACGTGCATTTCCTTAGCGTCTCAACGTACTTAAAAGCCCTTTGCAGTATCTACTCCCTTCTAGAATCCCTCTATCTCCTTCTCTCCCTCTAGTCATTCAAGGCCTCTCTCAAGATGTACCTCTTGTGCTGAGTTTGCTGATCTAACAGAGGCTAAATGGAGAGGCTAAATTTTACCTGTCCTTCCTTGGACTAGGGAGGGGAGAATCAGCCAGGTTTCCTGCTCCTACTTTAGCACCCATAGTGTTAATAGTGCGGGTGTGACAGCTGGGTGAGGTCAGGTTTACTGTGATGCCCTCTACAGTGGAGTGGGCTGCCAAAGCACACACAAGCAATGGCCATTTTTGGATGAGGCAGGGAGGGGGTGGGATAGGGTTGGGGGGGGGGGTGCCCAGGAGAAGAGAGGCGAGCA